CCCCCCCCCCCCCCCCCTTGCCTCCCCTTCGGCCCCCCTCTGTCTTTCTCTCTTTGCCCACCACCTATGCGTGCAATGGGGGGCGAGAGGTCTTTCTAATAGCATATATCGAGAGGATAAGATGCAAGTTTGGGAGGACAAAAATGTTTAAAAACAACATGGGAGAATCTTAATTTTTTGTTACTCTTGAAGAGAGGACTGGTCATATGAGATCCGGAGGCAAAGAGATGATACCGGCGAAAGTGGTTGCATCCTTCAAGGAGATCGGAGGATGCTTGGCATGTGACGTGGATACAATTTTAATGATGGACAAATCATATTCATCTAGTCGTAATCGGGGGTGCGATGCTAGTTCCATAAGGGTGAGAATGTTTTTCATACGAGATAGGAGATCCCAGTTTTGGGATGGGAAAAATGACGAAGATGGGAGGATGCCGATTTGGGTAGAATGGGAGGTAAGAGAATCATTGTCGACGATTGTCATATTCTCTCTCTCTCTCTCTCTGTCTTTGTATTCGTAAGAGCATGAATGGGTGACTACACAAAGCGAATCAGTGGTTTGTTTTGCACATGTTTGCCATGCGCATCAATCAATCACTTGATAGATGGGGAGAAAAACAATCTTGCACGATCAATATGCCGAGTCTCAATCAATGATAATACGCATGGACGGTTGAGTGTATCAGATCTGTTAATATTATTTTGCATATGTGGGATGTGCAACAATCAAGCAATAGATATAGAAAAACCCTGCCCCGCACGATCAACATCCATGACTGACAATCAATCAATCAATCAATCAACTGCTTATCGACGATCATCAATTTGAAGTGCTCACAATGCTTTTCCCTTTATTTTTCCCTTCAGGTAAATAAACCAATCAATGAGATTGCAGGTAGAGGTTGTGAGATTCCAGACTCGAGATGGCATGTGATGTGGAAAAAGTTTCGATGAGATATGGAAACAGGAGATGGACGAGATTTATAAACTCTGACAGCTTGGGATTCGAGAAAAGTTCGGATGTGATTCGAGAAAAACTCTGATAGCATGGCTCGCTGAGATTTTGGAATGTCAAAATTGCATGTGATGTGGATAAACTTTCGATGGGCTATGGAAGCACTAGATGCGAGGGACGATCACATCCGGTCGGCCGTGGTCGGGGACGAAATGCTACTTTAGGAAGGTCGGTGACGAAACACGAGATGGGAGGATCCCACTTTTAGGGAGAATGTCATTTTCAAGAGGTTGGGAGGTCAGGAAGTTGATCTTAACGGTTGCCATATTTTTCTGTCTTGATTGCATGAGATATTAGCAGGAAAACTTTGCCAGTCCCCGACCTCGATTCCATTTTCGTAAAAACAATAATATGGTATTCCCCCACAGAAAAGAAAGGGAAAATGTTGTTTTGTGCTTGTAATGGAAGTTGCTGTATCATAAATATGAATGTGTGATGCATTCCCATGCCATTGGGCTAAATATTGGATGTCGATAGTTACAATTGTTTATCGTGATTTCGACAATCAACGTGCATCGGTTTCACACACACACGCACACACACACACACACACACACACGCACACACACACACACACACACACACACACACACACACACACACACACA